ATTTTATTATGTAATGGTAGATAACCCTCGGTCACCAAATTATCTATACCCAAGCACAAGGCAATGAGACTTGGGTATATTGGCTATATTCTATCTCAAACAGCCGGTAGAAATGGTGCTCTGTTTTACCCTATACCTACCCCAGCTAGGAGACTCTTCTCCAGTGTACACTCATGTTTGCACACCCCTCTGTCCTATGGGAAACTATCGTTTGTTGTCATCCCTGTGACGGGTACATATCCGCCTAGTTCGCTCTAGTATTTCATGCGGTGAATCATATTTTAAAAGAACAAGGCGGACTGATTTGATTAATATGTTGGGCTTGAGATTTTGAAGGAATTCATTATCAAAACCATCCAGGCACCAACGCCAGGGAAATGTCACTCAGTTACCAAGGCAGGCAACGCAAGTAGCAATAAAACAATAGAGATCATGTTCAAAGTGAATATACCGTATATCTATTCTCTATCTCTTCCCACCTATAAATACTGTAGGGCGGTAGTTCACTGCACCAACTCAGACAGCGACAAGAGCACCGATGACAGACAACAGACGACAGACAAAATATCAATAAAAAAATGGATTCGTTCTATTTCAAAACACACGAACAGAACAAGAAGAATAAAAGCACAAATCAAAAGGGGTTGGATTAGACTTCGATGAAAGCGTGAAAGTAACGAAATAGAAAATGGATCAGGGAAGTCAAGTCGTCGCAAGAAACATAGGAGAGGGAGAGAAATAGGAAGTAAAAAAAATAATTCGCCGATCGAATGCATGAAATTATAAGTTTCCCGACCACCGACCACATTTGATATCTCTTTTTTGTTTCTCAGTTCGTTTATCATTCAACGCATCATCACACACTTCGCCATCACACCTCATAGCACCACCAAGCACGGGATTCTCTAGGCATTTCATTCGTTTTGCTTACTGGGAAGCGCACTGCATTCTCTCCGCACCAGGCGGTATGCCGTCTTCGTCGTCGTCGTCTCCTCTAGCAGCTCCTTGGGCTCTGGCTTGGCCACCATTGCTGTCGACGTTCTCCAAGGCAAAGTCCTCTACCATGCTGTCTGGTGGTGGCATCTCCTGGGTCAAACGTGGTGGTAGAACCTTCTCGAGAAGCTCGAGGTTCTGTAGCTGATCCTTCTCTGGGAATTGGACGTTGAACTGGATATAGAGGTTTCCGAAGTCGTGATGACGGTAAGATGGCATTCCTTGGCCTGGAATGACTTTGATTTGACCTAATGATGAAAAGAAGACTGGTTAGTTTTAAAGCTCACGGGCGAATATAATATGAAGGGGAAATGGGACATACCTGGTGTGATTGGTTCGCCAGGGGCAATGGTCACACTGAGCCATCGTTCATCGAGATGCTCAATGTTAATGGTGCCACCGGCCAATGCAGTGAGGAGGTCAATGTTAGCCTGATAGAACAGGTCATCGTCCTTGCGCTGGAATCGGGGATGTGGTTTCTGTTCGATTTCGAATTGAACATCTCCTGGCAGGGCATCTGGCATCTGGTCACCCTCTCCCCGGAAGTCGATCTTGTGGCCGGTCTTGACACCTCTGTCAACGTGAACATGTAGGACCTTTCGTTCAAGGACGGTCTTCTTGCCGAGACAGCGCTTGCAGCGGTCACGGTCGCGAATAGTTTCACCTTCACCACCGCACTCCTGGCAAACAGTTTGGAAGCGCTGGATCATAGGACCCATCTGACGCATCATGGTACGCATACCGGAACCATTGCAGGGTGCACAGGTCTTGACCGCGCCCTCCTTACCACCGCGTCCATCACACTGGGAGCAGATAGCTGACTTCTGAAGAGCGAGTTTGCTGACCTTTCCGCGGTAGATGTCCTCGAGGCTGACTTTGTGCACATGGTGAATCGTGCGCGCCTTCTTGGGTCCGGTTTCGCGCATTCCGCCGCCAAACATACCGCCGAAAGCGCCGCCGCCGCCGCCGAAGAATTGAGCGAAGAGGTCTTCAGCATTCATGCCGCCGCCTCCACCTCCTTGTTCAAGGCCTTCCTCACCATACTGGTCATAGAGGGCACGTTTTTGGGGATCTGAAAGGACTTCATAGGCGTGGGAGAGGTCCTTGAATTTTTCGGCAGCATCAGGGTTGTGCGCATTTTTATCTAACCGGGCCTATTAGCGCAAATATACGCCTGATAGGAAAGAATAAATACATACCTGGATGATGCTTCAAGGCGCCTTTCTTGTAGGCAGTCTTAAGCTCTGCTTCTGTGGCTGTTGGAGCAACCTGCAAAGGTCAGTATTGCGGTTCTTTGATTATAAAGATTATTGGTAACATATGGCAGCATACCCCCAGGGTATCATAATATTTAGTTTCCTTCACCATATTGACTCGCTGGAGAGTCTACTGAGATGCAGAAAGACGGAGAAGATAATAAGGAAGTCGAGTTGAGAGGGGTAGTTGGAATTCCTACGCGGTAGGGCTAGGAGCGAGGCTGTTCTGCTTCTCTAGGGGTTCGAAGATGGAAGTCGAGTTAGAAAGAGGCAACCAAACCGGCAAGGAGGTTGTATGTATGATGGCTCTCAGATGGAAACCCGGGAGTCAGAGAGTCGACGAAGAGAAAGGGTGAAGGTATATTAAACTGATGGAAATATTGATGCCGATGCTGAAGCTGATGAACGGCGGCCAGGGAAAAAAAGTCAGAAGATGCGAGGCCCGCGGTGGGTCTAGTGTTCCGTTGGTAACTTCTTGAGCCACAGTACTTTTTTCGAGATTGTAAGAGACTGCAGGGAAGAATATCTCGGCGAATAGAGCAGGTAAAGAAACGCTTGTTTTTAGGGTACGTTCTTCAAGGCCGTCTCTCTCGTGAGCCCAGATATCAGAGCTATATGCTTGTTAGCAATGTCGAGGGGGGAGGAGGGAGTGCCCCGAAATATGCTGATCAAGTAGCTTACCGTACAGTACCCAGCGCCCCTGCTAGGCATGTGGCGTTGCAGTTCTGGAGGCTTCCACGGCTCTCCAGCGCTTTCTCTGCGCTTCCACGGCCTGACTCAGCAGCAGGGAACAACGGCCAGGCAGAAGCACTTGAAAGCCGTCGCGATATGGGGCCTGAAAGAGATTCCAAAGGGGGCTGGGGTGAAGCAGACAAGAAAGAAAAAGATGAAGAAAAGACGAGGAAAACAAAGTGAAGTTCAATTTGCCAAAAGGAGAAGAAGAAGAAGCAAAAGACGCGGGTGCTTAGGTAAGACGAAGAACGGCTTGGCGGCTACCTGATTAGGAAGGGGGAGGGGGTTGACCGGAGCTGTTGCACGCAAGGTAAAGAATCTACACAGTATTCGTGAGCGTTTGGGAGAGGACAGCAAGATGCACGCGGAGAGAGCGGAGGGGATGTGTATTATATCATTGGAGTTGGCTATGTGCTATATACACTAGTTATACGGAGTATGATGATCGAGTTTCTTTGCTTAGTATCAACCCTCCTACGCAGCAGTTAGTCGGCGTATCTCCTCAAAGTAGAACTTCAAATCATCCGGTTTGACGAAGGGTGTAACGCCTGTAGGTAGCCATTAGTACTGGTCATGAGAGAAACGAGAAGGCAGACATGTGCACTACATACCGTGTCCCAGGTTGGCAATCCAGCCCTGCTTTCCACCTCCGAAACCCTTCACCATCTCCTCCACCACAGCCGTTATCCCTTCTCTTGTGCCATAAAGACATCCCGGGTCCGCATTGCCCTGAAGAACCACTCTTCCATTTGCAACGGCTCGTGCCTTGGCCGCATCGTGCTGCCAATCCAATCCTACGACATTATATCCAGACTCACACAGCTCGTCCAGGGCATACCAAGCTCCCTTTGCAAAAACAGTCATGGGCACAACTTCCAGGCCCATCTCTTGCAGTCTCTTGGGTAGATTGGCGGAGATATATCGTAGATATGGCAACGAAAACTCCGCAAAGGACCGTGGACTAAGTTCTCCAGCCCACGAGTCGAATACCTGAACCATCTGTGCTCCGGCCTTGACCTGCTGCGCGAGATGTTCAACACACACTTCCGAGATCTTCTGTAGCAGTTTCTTCGACGCATCGGGATATTTGTATACCCATGTCTTGATGGCTGCAAACATCTTGCTGCCGCCTCCTTCGACCATGTAGCATAGCAGCGTCCATGGGGCACCGATGAATCCAATAAGAGGTACTCGGCCCTCCAGCTTCTGCCTTGTAAGGGTTATGGCTTCATAGACGTAGCCCAGTTCTTTCGTGACGTCGACCGTTCGGTTCATGACCTGTGTGTACTGCTCGTCCTCTGGTGTCCGTAACGGATTAGGGAACGAGGGGCCCTTCTTATCAATCATCTCGACTTCCATGCCCATTGCTTGCGGGATTACGAGGATATCGGAGAAGATAATGGCGGCATCAATGAGTCCTGCATAGCGCTCAATGGGCTGCAGGGTAAGCGTCGAAGCTACCTCTGGTGAGCGGCAGCACTCGAAGAAATCTCTGTTTCCTTTGGCCTCATGGTATTCGGGAAGGTAACGGCCAGCTGGAGAGGAAAACGTTAGAGTCGATTAGGTATAGAAGATACTGGTTAGGTGTAGATAGCCCGTACCCTGTCTCATAATCCATATTGGTGGCCGTTCGACGTTTTCGCCTATAGAGGGGTAAGCAGCTGCCCCGTGGGGTCAATGGAGGGGTACTCGGATATTTTATAGCTTACCTCGAGCCGCCCGGAGGAGAAGATCGTTCTTCAAGGGAGCAAATTGGTTAGACATGGCTGGTTGATATGGTGAATAGGTTGTTACTGGTGGTGATGTTGAGGGGTGGAGGTTGAAAATATCCCAAAGTCAATATTGAGCTAGACTACAAAGCTGCCGGGAGACGACGGGACCTTCTGTTACGCTTTAACCAGATCACTAAGACCTGCCAATACAAATATGATCACAACAATAGAAGGGTATCGAATGCCATTGATGCGAATCTATCAGCTATACTACTATATCCATGATTATTTCCCTGCTGAGTAACTGTTACTCTTCCTCACCCCGCACGCTTTTGCGGAGGTTTCCTATATTATACAGCGATTCTCCAAGCTGCTTCAACTGTTTCTGCCTCTCTTTTTCGTCTTGTGCAAGATTCAAGCTGAAAGACGAACAGGTGGCCATGCTACTTAGAGCGAGAGAATGAGATTCTTCCCACTTGAGGCTTCCAGAATCCATCGTGGCTGTAAACTGCTGTAGTGGCGAGCCCGAAGATGCACTATCGGATCTCTGCTGAGTGGTTGATCCTGGCTCATGGACGTGATCCGACGATACTACGATGGTGCCCTTGTCGTCCAAATTAGTGATATCAAGGACATTTCCTGATGCATTAACTGTTGGAAGAGGCTCTAAAGTGTTATCAGCCTTGACGCCAAAAGCCAGCAGTTCTTGCGATCTAGATATAGTAAGTTAGTTTTTAAGATCAGACAGGTATATATATAAGCTTGGGTGAACTCACCCCTCAATGGTAACAAGAATAGCGCCCCTCGCAAAATGGCATAAGCCGGCATCACCTTCAAAGGACACTGCCCGGATACCGATTACAGCAATGTCTGCCTGGCTGCTTTGCTGTGCCAGCTGTAACGGAAGTTTCTGGAGTATCCTGCCCTCTCTCCAGTTCCAGACAAGGATATAATCATCTCCTCCGCCGGAAATCAACAATTCCGGAGCCCAAGAGGGAATGCACAGTTTACTAATGAAGGATGTGTGACCTTGGCAATATCCGTGGATTATATGCGCTTGTGGTGGTCCCCTTGAGACACGAATATGCTCATCGCGATCCGCGGACAGGATGTAGCTTCGTGATTCAGCAGGGAACGAGACAAACGCCAGATCAGTCAACATGGACACATGGCCCAGCAGTAGCTTAAGCTCAAATGAAGGGCCGACTTTCTCGCGCTTGACGACTGGTGAGCGCAGCTGTTGTTGCAGAGAATATAAGTTTTTCTTTGTGTGGACTGTGAGGGGGTTGGCGGAGGGCTTAAATGCTTTTGGCTCTTCGGTTGGAGTAGGGGTTGTTGCTACAGCGGCCGGTGGTTTGGCGTTGTTATCGGGGAGAAGGGGAAGAGAGTAGACGTCTCCGAACTTATCACCGCAGAGGATCACGGTGTTGTTCTGCGCCAGTGCAAGTGCACAGGGTCGCTTGGGCATGCATCTGTAGGAGGTTAGAATGGTGGGTTTATATATATGTATATATACTATTGGAGTAATAATGTATAGTAAAGAGGCTGGGCTTACCGTTCACTCTGCTGTTTCAATGTCCCGTCGATGCCTACTTCAAACACCCGTAGACACTTGTCTTCGGCCGTCACTGCGATAACATGTTCCCCTGACGGCGTACATAGGATCAAAGGTATAGTAGTCCATGCAATGGAGGAGGACTTTTGAGCTTTGCTTCCATCCTTGGTCTCGCTTGAGGCTGGTGAGAGTCTGCGCTTCTTCTCTGGCGGTGGTGTTCCTGCGCGGTCAGTGGTGGGGTCGTCCTTTGCTACCGGCTGGCTTTCTACCGGTAATGTATGTCGATCAGCGACTGAAGTAGCGGGCCAGACGTCCAATTGGGCACCATCCTGGGCGTCAAACGTATATAGATTCGGTCCGGCTGCGGCGATGAAGATGTTGCGCTGAGCTCGGTGCAGCTGCGCTATTCGCTGCACTGGTTGGCGAAGGGCCATCACCGGGGGGACTCGCCTGTTGCTGGGAACAGGTCAATCGCAGCGAGAAATATCTGGTACAGAGAGTCAATAGAGTATCTCACAAAGCAGGTCGACCTCAGCACTTACATGGCTATCTAATGCTGTTTAATATGTCTTTCGCATCGACTTTCTTCGACTTCTTCGTCTTTTGGCTCTTCTAGATTTAAGGTTATCAACACCACGTGACCCCACTAGCGAGACACGAAGAAAAAACACCACAAAAAGCGAAAATCAAAAGCGAAAGAGGAAAAAAAAGAACATCCAAAAAAATCATCCAACAACAACCACAACGACAACCAAAGCATTTGCCCTTAAATATCCTCTCTTCAAACAGCATAAGAAGACATGGGGGGCAGATCCGAAGCCAAGGCCGCTTACTTCGATAAGCTCAAGAGCCTTCTCGATGAGTACCGATCGATCTTCATCGTCAACGTCGACAATGTCAGCTCTCAGCAGATGCACGAGATCCGTATCGCTCTGCGAGGAGAGGGCGTCGTGTTGATGGGAAAGAACACTATGGTAAGGCTGCAGTGTCCAATGCGATGAGAACGGTGATGAATTGGCGAGACAGGATGCTAATAGTCAAGAGTAGGTCCGTCGTGCTTTGAAGGGCTTCATTGGTGACAACCCAGAGTATGAACGCCTGTTGCCATTCGTCAAGGGTAAGAAGCAAATGAGAACCGAATAAAGTAGAGAAAAGAACTGACTGGGTGGCAGGCAACGTCGGCTTCATCTTCACGAACGGCGACTTGAAGGAGATCCGTGAAAAGATCCTTTCCAACCGAGTCGCTGCTCCCGCTCGTGCTGGTGCCATTGCCCCCGTCGACGTGTACATCCCCGCCGGCAACACTGGCATGGAACCCGGCAAGACCTCTTTCTTCCAGGCTCTCGGTGTCCCCACCAAGATTGCCCGTGGAACGATCGAAATCACGACCGAGCTGCGTCTCGTTGAGGCGAAGAACAAGGTCGGCCCATCCGAAGCCACGCTTCTGAACATGCTGAACATCTCTCCCTTCACGTACGGTATGTCTGTTGCTCAGATCTACGATGACGGCCAGACGTTCGACTCGAGCGTGCTGGACATCGAGGAGGAGCAGCTTCTCGGCGCTTTCCAGACCGCCGTCAACACCATTGCCTGTGTCTCTTTGGCGGCCAACTTCCCCACCATGCCCAGTGTGATTCACTCTCTTGTCAACACGTACAAGAAGTGTGTTGCCATTGGTATTGAGACCGACTACAGCTGGGAGGCTATCGAGGAGCTCAAGGACCGCATTGCCAACCCTGATGCGTATGTCAGCACTGGCCCTGCCGTGGTTGAGACCAAGGAAGAGAAGCCCAAGGAGGAGGCTAAGGAGGAGGAGGAAGACGAAGAGAGTGACGAGGGTGGTGAGTATTCATTCTATGCTGCCTCTTGAATATTATTTTCCTTCTATTCTAGAAGAGTTATACTAACTATGCTTGGCGACAGGATTCGGCGACTTGTTCGGTTAAACTACCGTGTAGATATCTGTCTATCGACCACTAGTCTGAATGCACACGCACAAGCTCTCGCTTCTCTGCCAGCCAGCACTAACACTAACACTAACTCTCCTTACCTTTTCTTCTTTTTCTTCCTTCTTCTTTCCCCATCGCATCTAGCTTACCATCTCTTTAAGCTGCCGAGCCCCTAAGCTAGCGTGCCGCTTCCGAGCCCCTTCAAATCAAACGGTAAGCCAGCCTCTCTTTCTTTCTTACTATGCACTCTTTTCTATCTGGCGAAGGATTATTCATTTTTAACCCCGAGAGTGGCCCGTCTGGGTCCTCGTTGAAGATTACAAACGCAACAACACTCTAATTTTTTCATGACGCCTCTTCTACTCTTTTATCTGTTTTTACTGTCTAAAAATCTCCGATCTGTTCAAGAGCTTGACATGCTAATGGAAAGAGTATAGGTATAGGTACCCGCTGCCGGCCACTCAAAAGACGAACCCATGTCTTGTATCGAAAAAAGGTACAGTACTCACTTAGCATCCGCTAGACCGTCCCAACCGGCCACTAAAAGCCATCTTTTTTGCAGGTAAGTCAGGGTAAGCATGTAGCAAGATAGATAGACAGAACAAGAACAAGAGGCTGTTTCTTTTACATAAGTATCTTCCCTATCTTTCCCCTTTGACCCATGGATCCCATGGGACCCATGCAGGGCCAACCCTATCACCCTATTAATAACTCCCATGTCCATGTCTATACGCCAACCTTAACCCCGCATAATAAAATCGTAAGGAGGAGGAAGAAGTCAAGTATACGGAGCAGTCGAGCGACCCGATGATGGTAAGATCAAAGTCCATGGAGAAGTAAGAGAAAAGGAGAAGAAAAGCAACGACCTGTCCGTCCTGCCGATCGAGTCCAGCCCAACCGTTCGAGAGCACAGAATTAAAAAAGACAGCCAGCCAGCCAGCGTTCCTGGAGCTAAGCAAGCAAGTATCCAACTAGGTACTTCTCTAGTATGAGTAAAGGGGAGAAAACTACTACTTCACGCCACGCCCTTGCCCTGTTTCACGTTTCATCATCTTCCTCCCATCAGCTGCAGTCAGAGCGCGGGCAGAGGGAGAGAAGAAACAGAGACGGTCAGAAAAGAGAGGGCAGAGAGAGATGAAAGGCCGACTGTGTCCTCGGCTGGAGAAACCTGGGTGGGATCGACCTAAGGGCGGCTCGTGTGGATGGAGTCGAGGGGGCTGCATAAGTGAGTAAGTCGAGGTGTATAACTAGTGAGTGTTTAGGATGGCTGTGGGAATACGACAGGACAATGAAGACAATAGCGATGAATAAAGAGAGAGACGGAGGATGCTGGATCATCGACCCTAAAGACGCCTTCCGCGGTGATCAACTCGGGTTCGCCGTCTGTCCTAGTCAGTCAGCGGTGGTGGTGAGTGAAGCCGTTAGTCAGTCAGGGTTAAGCCGTGTTGGTGCAGTGTAAGCGCAGGCAGAAGAGGAAGAAGAGGAAGAAGAGGAAGAAGAAGCGAGAAGAGACACTTCGTCTTGCCTTAGCCTTTGCCTTCAGCCTTCGTCCTTGAGTCTGTCTTCTTGTCTCTGCGGAGTATTAAGTAAGTGGCCATCTTGCATCTTCCTAGGCATCTTCCTAGTCGACTTCCTGGTCTTCTTCCTGCCTTCCAGAAGGCCACGCAAGATCTCATTGACTGACGAGTTAGCGTCGACTAGGGACAAGGGGAGGGAAATACGAGGCAGCGACAGGGAAGACACAGGAAGACGCAGAGGCAGATGGCTATGGACTATGACTTCTCCTTCTCTTCTTCTCTTCCCCTTCTTCTCTTCTTCTATCATAAGTGTCTCTCTGTTTACTCTGCTTCATCTCTCTACTCGTCGTATCGTCGCCGTAAGATACCGTAAGGAACCAAAGAAACCCAAGAAACCCGCCCTTTCTGCGCTGTCTCGCTCGGTAAAACCAAAACATCCTCGGCCCTTCCAGAAGCCTTCGACGGGTTCGGTTGAGCCTTTTTTTTCTTTCTTTCTTTTTTCTTTTCTTCTTCTTTTCTTCTTTTCTTCTTCTTTTCTTTCTCTCTCTTTTTTACTCTTTTTTTACTCTTTTTTCTCTTCTCTCTTCCTTTTTAATGGTCTTGGCGAGCGGAAAGAAGGACAAAAAGTTGATAGAAGAAGCAGAAGAAGACGCAGTTTAGCGGAAGAAAGAAGACGAAGAACAAGACGAGGACGAGCAAGAATAGGCCTTTCTTCTCTTTACTTCTTACTTCTACTTCTACTTCTTCTATCTTTCCGTCCTTCTGCTGACTTGCTTCCGCGTCTTTCTCTCTCTCGTCTTTCTCTTCTGCTTTTCTCTCTTTGACGCTCTTGACTCTCGCTTTTTTCGCACTTGCTCGCTTCCTCACAAAGAACGCAGACGCCCGCGACCCTCGACCCTCGACTCTACGCTTTCCTTCCCGTCCTTGTTCCTCGTCCTCGCCCGCCGTCCGGTCAGGTCCCTCGATCTAGGTCTTTCTTACGAGTAGCTTCGTGTTCAGAGAGGAGGGGGGGAAAGAGAAGGGATATCCATCCATCTACCTGTTGAAGCACCGGCGTACTTACTTCTCTGCCCTTATTCGCCTCTCTTTCCGTTCTTTGGCTTTCGTTCGCCTCGCGTCCAGCCCTTTTCCCTATTCTTTCCCTTTGGTCGGGCGCAGCAAGAAAGGCGAAGAAGGGGAGGGATCCCCCGCCCGCCAGATAGTCAGTTGGTTGGTTGGTGATAGTCGACCAGGGGGGATACAGCAGGAGCTTTCTTTTTCGTCTACTGTCGCGGGAGGGAGAGAAGGACAATCATAATAAGAAGAAGAGGGACGAAGAAGAAGGTCGTCGCCCTGGGGGTTCGGACCGTGGAGGTTGGTCAAGTTGAAGTGGCTGTCGAAGTCGACGTGGTTGAAGTGGTGAAGTTGCAGCTTGTAGCAGCAGCAGCAGCGAGAGCGAAGTGACATGAAGTTGACCTTGCATCGCCTTCCGCTTTGGGACTGAGTCAGCGCTCTCTCTCTCTCTCTCTTCCTTACTCTCTCTCTGTTTCGTCTTCTTCGTCTTCGTCTTCTTGCTTCATCTTTGCTTCGTCTTCGCCTTCGTCCTTTGCCGTCGTCTTCTCGGTTGGCTGCTGCTGTGAATGCCATCAGACACACGCTCGACAGGCGACCCGGACGCCTCACCTTCTCCTCTTACCTCTTCGCACCTCGCACCTCGAATCCCACGACGACGACACAGCGACGGGGAGGACGACGACGATGGACGCTGCAGCAGCGGCGTGTTGGGCCGTCTACCTGGACGACAGGGTCGACCAGGAGCGCTGGATAGAACGAGACGGCGAGCAGCTGCCGGAGTCCGCTGAGCTCGCTGCCAACCTCGCTCGCATTCTCGCCATCTGCAGACAGGGTACCGCTCCTCCTCCTACTCCTACGGTGATTATGGCTACTATGGTTGCTACGGAATACTGACTGACTACGATAGTGTATGTGTGCAACTCGGGCAAGTCGTTCGCTACCAAGGTCGCAGAGCTGACGGATGCCGGCCGCGAGGAGGGCGACTCGGACGCTGCCATCGTGCCCGTCCTCGCATTCATTGATATCGCCGTCTCGGGCGACGCAGAGTCCTCTCACATCCGCCGTTCTTCCCTCAACCTCACGCCGCTCTCCTCGCCTCCGTCCCAGCCACAGCTACCACACCAGCACCAACAGGGACAAGGCCACGGGCACGGTCAAGCCTCCGCCGTCTCGCCGTCAACCTCAACCTCCAGACGCAGCCTTGCATTCTCCTCCGAGTCCGAAGAGCTCTTTGGGCTCCACCTGCTCTCGCGCTTCTCCGCAGACATCCAGGCCCGTGAGACGCCTCACGCAATCATACCAATCGCTATATTGCGGAACGTCCAGCCCCAGCCATCGCCGTTTTCCTCCGCTCTACTCCTGCGCAGCGGGAAGCATGTCGAGGCTGCGCCAAAGCCAAGCTCCCGCCGGCCGGATGACCGACAGATAAGCCGTTGTCTCGATGCTGGTGCCATTGACGTTCTCGTCTCCCCCATAGACCAGTCTAGAGTCCATGGCCTGCTCACACATGCATACCGCATCCGCAGGGCGGCGCAGAAGGAGAACAGTCGCTTCATGGCCAACTCGGGACAGAAGATGCGCAAGTACTCCTGGGTAGGCGTCAGCTCGACCGCAGAGGATGAACGACCCTATGCTTATCTCAGAGAGGCCATGTACGTCTTTTCTTTCTTTCTTTCTTTCTTTTATTCCTAGGCTAACTTAAATAGGGTCTCGAAATTGATGAAGAGGATATGTAATCCTGAAGAAGCCCTCGACGACTCCCTGATCAGTGACGTCTGTGTCTCAGACGAGCGCAAGGAGGAGGTCAAGGCGGCCATTGCTGAATGGCATTTCTGTGCTCACGACTTTACCGATGATGAACTTTGCTATGCTTCCTGTTTGATGTTTGAACATACCCTTACCATGCCTGCCCTCGAGCACTGGCGCATCTCTTCTGGTGGGTTTTTAAACTTTCTCTTTCCATTCATCTCCCTATATGTATGTGTATGTTCTAACAGGCATAGAATCACTGCGGGAGTTTGTGCTTTCTTGTCGCGCGGCATACAACTCCTTTATACTCTACCACAACTTCCGCCATGCAGTCGATGTCCTCCAGTCGACCTTCCACATCCTCGTTCGCGTAGGCGTCATCCCGCCTTTCCCCCTCGGAAGCGAACGTCGTTCCTCCGGCACGGGAATGTCATGTCTCCTGACCCCGTTTGACGCCCTCGCACTCCTTGTCATTGCTCTCGGTCACGACGTAGGCCACCCGGGAGTCAACAACATGTTCCTAGTCAAGCTCAATGCTCCCCTCGCCCAGCTCTACAACGACAGATCGGTCCTCGAGGCCTTCCATTGCGCTGCCTACTCCCAGATATTGCGCCGGCACTGGCCCTCGGTCTTTCAAGATACAGAGATGCGCACGCTTATGATTAGCTCCATCCTGGCTACCGACATGGGCATCCACAATCACTTCATCGACGAGCTCGGTAAGCTCAGGGGTAGGTACGAAGCTGACGCCAGAAAGGTAGACTCCTGGATCGAAAAGGATGTCAGGGACTACCGTGTTCTCCTGTGCGCCTTGATCATCAAGTGTGCCGACATTAGCAACGTCGTATGTTTCCCCTTGCTTCCGGATGAATAGGCACATATAGCTAATATATCTCTCTCAGGCACGCCCGTTCAAGGTCGCAGAGCAGTGGACCGATGTTCTGCAGCTGGAGTTTGCTAACCAAGGAGAAATGGAGGTAAATATCGGCATAGCGACCTCTCTCTTCGGCGGTCCGCCAGAGCTAGGCAACTTTATCAAAAAGGCAAAGGGCCAGGTCGGATTCATGGACATATTCGGCCTGCCTCTCTTCGACGGAGTCACTGACATCCTTCCCGACCTTGCCTTTGCCGCCAACACCATACGGAGCAACAGGTTCATATGGGCCAAACTCATGGAACATGAAGAAGAAGTCGCCGCGCACCGCGCTAGAAACTGCGACACTCCGCGCTGTCAGGGCGCCGACCCGTCATGGGAGGAATACAGAAGGCGGCTGATAGAAGAAGGCCCGGCGTCCATGGGATACACGATCCAGCACCGCTCGCCGCCCCAGTCACCGATTCGATCCCCGCCCCAGCTAGACGGAGAAGCAGATACGAACAGCAGCATCCAGGTACCGTCGTCGGCAACTGCTGGGCCAGCGACTAACGTCTCCGTCATCGTCAACGGTATCCACCACAACCACCACAACCAACATCAACACCAACACGCCCATGCCAATCGACAATCCCAACGATCAGCAGGCCGGTCATCGGTCCAGAACACAGCCCGCACAATTGACTCTGGCAGCGGCTGCAGCGGTAGTGGCGGTGGAGTACGCACCCAAAGCACAAGTACCTACACAAACAATACACTAATCACTCCGCTTTCTTCAACCACTCAGGCAAGCAGCGTCATAAGCGTCGGAAGCAGCGTCGAGGAAAAAGACAGTACCTGTCAGTTACACCAGCGCCTCAATCTAAAGCCATCCTCCATGAATCATGCTCGTCGTCGTGACCTTCAGCACCAGGCAAAGCCGGATGATGTTGCCGCTGCTTGTGGTGCCAGCACTACCACCGCCAGTAGCTATACCTCCAGCCTTGCTCAGAACGAGAACGAGGATGAACATGATCATGATGGCGTCCATCAGAATACTTTTGCTGACGAGAACCTGCCGTGTCCAGTCAACGCTTTACCCTGTACGACTGATGGAGCAAGCAGCTACCATCATCCCCCGCAGACCTGGTATGAGCGTGCTACCAACAGCAAGGCCGGCGAGAGGCGATCAAAGTTCATCAGCGGCCTGTTCGAGAAGGCCGGCTCCAACAACAGCAGCAACATCAACGCTGCCAACACCAACATTAACACAAACGGCAACCACCCAGCTGGCCTGACACTCTCGAAATCCGCACAGTCAACGCCCACAGTACACAACAACAGCCATCACCACCACGGCCAGCACACCCGCGGGCGACGTGGAGGCCCAACAAGTCACCCTCGCTCAACTCCTTCCAGTCCTCCCTTGCCCCCATCAACTCTCCCCTTTGACTCCGACGACGCCAGTAATGATCCCCTTTCCTCCCTGTCACCTAACCATGCAACGGTACCACCACTTCCTCGACGCCGCTCCCGTCTACGGCTAGCCTTCTG